TGTAATTCACATTGTAATATGTTATCTTTAATTGTTACTCTTTGTTGTAACCAGATTCAATTGATAAGGACTTCAATAAAAAGTCGAAACGTTTTGAAGCTAAAGAAAGAAATTTTTTACTTTATTTAATTATTGCACAATATTACTTTATTATTTTTTTGTGATATGGAAAGTTTCAAATTATCCTGTTCTGTTTTATACAGTTTAATAAAGAACACATTATTTGGTCAAGAGATTTATTCTATAAAATTATTTCTTTTTATAATTCTATACCGGAAGATACACATTTATAAATAGGTATGTGATGCACATTTATAAATTGTTTATTATAAATAATACATTTGTTAGTATATATTTGTCACCAATGAAATAAAAAATATGTGAAAATGAAGGAGTTTTTCAATCTGAAATGACCGAAGAATGTGATCGTTTTTTATCTAAATTTTTTTCGACAAAATGACAAGAGATATCGTGATTCTTTTATTACACTTATTCAAGACACAAAAGATTCAGAAAATGCAAAAACCAAAACAGTCCGATTATTTGGTCCGTCTAGATCGAAAAATTTCCTTGTAAAGAAAGAAAACAGAATGTTCTTACCAATATATAAAGCATGAAATGTATACACGTACACGTATTAAGTCACATATGTGTTTACCTCAGCTTGAAAAAGTGTTGATTTATACATCAAGTATAATTAATTATTATAATAGATATACATACATATATATTTATATTTATATTTATATTTATATATAGAGTATCTCTGCACCATAGCTTTTGTATTTGTACATACAACGTATGATTTTTTTGTATAGTTATCCCACCTATGGGAAGGATGACTGGTGAGTTTCTTGTAAGATATTCATACATAGATTATTATAAAGTAAGTTAGCATGCATAAGTTCAATACTTGTACATATTTAGAAATCTCTCTGATTTATACAAATAGATATTAATTACATTAACTACCATTAATCCTCTCCTCTACACATGTCTGTTTTTAAAGCTTTTTCTTGCGTGACGAGTAACACATTTTCAGTTTTAAAATTTTGCTTTTCAATATTAATTTTTCTGTAAACGTAGCATGGTAAGGGTTGAGAAATAACGCGTTATTCTTGTAACACCGTTATAGGTACTTTTTTTTTCAATAATAAACTACAACAGCAACGTTAATTTTTTTATTGATAATTGTAACAAAATTTAACAGTTACTTTTATAATTTATCTTTATAATAAACTGAAATTCGAGAGCTTTTATGCACGTAGACAAAAAATAAAAAAAAAACAAACGCAGATGTTCAGGCGCAAATAACTATTCATTGTTTATAATAATAACGTACATACAGATAATCATTTTTTATTTTATATATTCTTGGAAAACATTTTTTACTTGACATATTCTGAGACTTTCTTCAGCTAAAACAGTTGCAATAATATAAAGCAATTATTTCAACTAAAAACTTGTATGATTTTATGTCAAGAAATTTATTTAATCAAATTTTTACAGCCATTTACAATTTTGCACCGACATCTAGGCTTGATTCTTTCTATTTTCTTTTATTTGAACTCATAAAATTCTTTGTATTGAGACTTATCATTCTAAAACAGTTATCTTTTATAATATCTATCAAAATCCTCGCACTACGAATAATCGCGCGGTAGTTAAATACTGGGAGTCAGAATAACCGCTTAGAAATTATTTAAAAAATTACTTTTTGATGAAAGATTGATTAAATCTTTATCAAGTAATCTTTATTTTATTAAGTGATAAGAACAAATTGCGCAACAATTAAAATAACTGAGTCAAAATGACGTTCGTTGAGCGAGGGTTTGTGTATGTAACTTACGTTTGTGTGTAACATAGTGCTGTCAATATACTTAGAGTATAATGTATATGTTATAACCTATATATATTATTTAATTTATTCCTTATAAAAACGTAAATTTTAATAATTGAATAGTCAGTATATTCACATACACAACGATGTAACTTCAAAAATGTATTATTATCTATTATCTATTATCTATTAGTCTTATTTTATAAATACAAAAAATCTTCAAACACAATGTCCTTACACTGTTTTTTTATGCACAACAGTGTAAATATTGACAGCAGTAAGTTAATAGAACGCTTATGGCTTTTTTTGTTGAAATGAGCAATAGATTCGTTTATACGCATATCTCTGCATACAAATTGTTTTAGTATAAACCAGCTTTAATAAGATTTAAAATGTTTTTTTAAACTCAGAATTTAAAAAATTATAAATTATTTTTATTCAAATAACATATATAGTTTGCATAAATATTAATGCATATACGGCAACAAAATGTCCTCAAAAATGATATATAATATGTTTTAACAAAAGTTATCAAAACTTTTCGATTTAATCTCTCTGTCGTGTATAAAATAATCACATTTATATAAAGTTTTTATTTTCTTTTATTCATTACTTTTTATTTGTACGAAATTAATAATGGTAAGAGTTTCCGCGTCTCTATATACCTTAATACAGCAGCTCCATTGGTTTAATGACGTTAGAAAAAAATGACATAGTGTGCGATTCTCGCGATTCTACAGTTTTAATTTTTATTTTTTCTTAAAAAATATACAATATCTTTGTAATGCGCAGAGATCGAAGATGTTTTTTTTTCTTTTTTTTTTAAATTCTATACAGTAATAAAAAAAAGACTACAATAGTGTTTGTATTTCAGGGTGACTACTACGTACACAACACCTACATTAGGTGTGCCCAATGCAGTCACGGCAAGTACATATCCTCAAATGCTTGGCTTAAGCGAGCAAGTACAAGCTCTGATGCCCGTAGCTACATCCGCATCATCTTTATTACATCAACAAAGGCACACACCATCCGTTCACAACACATCTCATGGGAAGTATCCACCACCTCTAATACCAGTCAATGGTAGCAGTAGCAGCAGCAACAGCACCGGTACTACTAACAATAACAGTGCGAGGTACGAATAATAATAGTTGTAATATAACAACGTGTTTGTCGTTATTTTGGAGCAGTGTTTGTCGGCGTCGGGATAAAAATAAGGGCTGCGATCATGCTCGATCTGTTTTGTTCTAACGTCGAACGCGCTACGAGAAGAGTAAGAGAACTACGAATAGAAACGCGTCAAATGTAAAGGTCCTGAGCAACAATTCCAGTTCTCATTTATTCAGACGTTGGCGAGCACTATTATACAATTATACTTATTTAGAGCAAAGCTGGCGAAAGCTTTGCACTAGCATTGATTTCGGTATTTGTGTCTAGCACTATTCCCACTCTTTTCGCTTCGTAGAAGAGACCAATAGATTGCACGACACATGCCGAAAGTCCTAAACAATTTTTTTTAGCTAATTATCGGTCCTCTGTTTAAGCTTCTCGTTCAAATGCGTCCCAAGCTGGCTCAAAAGAAATCAGTGCATAACCTTTGACGGTTTTTTGAGAAATCAAATAAATACATAAATATGAAAAACTGATAAAAAGTTTCTCGTCATCAATGGTCACAACCATCTATAGATTATTATTATTTAGGGATTCCCGCGGGAGGAAACCTTTAATACCAATAGCGGAGTCACATTCATCATCTTCTTGTCACGTGCAACCATATCAAATTCAGAAAGCACTGGTAGAGGAAAAGATGGTACCGTGTATCAACTTTAAACCTTACATTTACACCGAGTTATTGATGACGCTTCCCGACTTTGTTTCAAACTTTTTTCCTGCCTGTGACATCGAGAGCTGTAGACAAGTTCTTACGGATGTTCTACATATAGACTTGTATCAAGGAAATAGGTAAATAGATATCTGACTGTATACACAGCAGTGACCTTTATATTATTCAGTTCCGCGACAGGAAGACAGAAGATGCGTTTGATAATAAAAAAAAAAAAAGTCGATTTTCAGACACAACGTAATTTTTTACCGTTCCGTATCGTTGGCGTTGATCGGTCGGTTAGAAAAGAAGCTAGATATATAGGCATGGAAGCTTCTTTTCTTTTCGCAAAACTGAATACATGAAGGTTACAGACGTACTTTTCATTAAATACTTTTTGTGAAGAAAAATCTGTTTGCAGACAGCAAATGAAGATGTTAATGGAAGCAGGAAAGTGTTCCTCGCCAAACGAGGAACTACCTTTGATTCAAGTTAGAAGTGTAATGAAATACATGCCACAATTCAAATATATGTTTGACAGAGGAAATATGGTTATGCCTTCCCCAGCTCATTCGTCCGAAGAGCATGCCAAAAAGCGCCAACGCACCAGCTAGGATTGGCTACAGCCTTATTGGCCTACTTACGATTATTATCATTCGGCAATGTAAATAAGCCGATAACAGTTTGTGTACGCATTGCTGGAATCGTTCTCACGATAGGTACGCATGTATTTGAAGAAGAGACTGTATTTCGTGTATTCACCGTGTATGTGGTGCGGAATATGACTATATGATAAGTCAAGTTTGTGAAAAGTGATTCAGTGGTTATTATTTCTTTCTCTAAGATAAAAACAAACGTTTGACGAGTAAACGACTAGTGTGAATAAAAAAAAAGCGATATAATAATACGTCGAGACAATTCAGAGATCTGCGTTTATGTAGAATATATATATATTTTTTTTCTAGACCTGTTACAATGTGACAAATATTACATTGTTACAGGGCAAGGAAAACCCCTTTAAGACAAAAAAAAGCACATTCTTATTTTCAAATTAAATATATGTTCTATCATTCCACACATAAACACACATATTTACAAGCGCGCGTGCAACATACAAGAGAAACTAATATACCTTATTTTATTTCTCTACCTCTGTATACAAGAACAAAATAGGAACATTTATTTAAATTCTTGTAAAAGTAAAATAAAACTTTACTTCACACTATAGGTTAGGGTTAACGTCGCGTCATCGTCATGTCAACGCGCACTATCAAATTTTTTCACATGAGCTTTAAACAATGACTTGTTTGTAATAATACAGTGTGTTGCCTCTATAATACGTTAAAAAATATTTTGACGCAACGTTGCCATGACATTTTTAGTGTGAATCTAGCTCAAAAATTCTCTTTTCGGTACCATCAGCGGTCACTCTTGCGAACAACTTTTACTTAATACAAAAGGCGCTTCTTAATTACTCGTAAAAAAAACTTATAAAAAGAAAGCTAAAAAAAAGTGAGTGTGACAAAGCGATGTTCATATTAAGTCGTAAAAAAAAAAAAAACGACCGAAAAGAGCTGCGTCCCGTTGTTATTGCCAGTATGATAATAACGTGAAAATAAAAATCTATAGTTCACGTAATATGTATTACAGATGTTCAGTACTGTCAGTGATAACGTAGCGCAGCAAAGATCTGTATCTAACGATGGACGATGGATAGACGATAGGCCATTTTCGTACAGAAAATTTTGGTCACTTTTGCGGGCTTCATTGTAAAACCAATTGAACTAAATCTCTCGGTAATATTAATAATCAGACCAATTACGGACAATGTTAAGTCCGTATTACACTACAGGTTGCGGATATTCCGAATTGCTGTTTGACCATTCCAGAGCGATCTGGTCAGTAAGCTGCTTCGCTCCGGTTGGTTGATCCGCAACCATTAATTGTAATCTTGAGCCGACGGCTTCTAGTCACTTGTAATGTAATACGGGCTTTGGTTTACAGATAAACACAAAATAAAATGAATGTTATTCTTTCAAATTCTATATTTTATAATATTTTTGTTACGTATGTCAATATCTTGTGTACGTGAGATAAAAAAGTTCTGGCTAAAAAAAATTTGGAAGGAAAAATGATGTGTCTATCATTCAATTAATAAGCGAGCATAAGGGTGTGCTGTATAAAGTTATTCAGATCGAATAACTTATTTTGCATCTTACATGCGAAAATACAAAGTAAGAAAAAGTTGAAAAATGGAAGTAATGGCCGCGGGACCGAGCGCTTAAATAAGCGTTTTATAATGATTGCTTTGTCATTGGCATGTATTTTTACATCTGTAATAGATCTGCAACAGATCTAGGAGGCCAATTGCAGACAATAAGCACAAAACGCTTACTAAGCACTGAGTTCTGCTAAACGCGGCCAATGCTTCTTCAAGTTCCTAGATATTATTACTAGTATATATATCATAATATTTAACAGCAAGGTGAGATGCAAGAATGAGATGTAAGAACGAGATGTAATTACTTTGTTATGGAAGAATGTTCATAATGTTTAGAATATATTTAATACCCAAAACGATTCTAGTTTTCAGTTGCTTAATAAATATACATTGCAGTGTGCAGGTGTGTGGAGAACGTTATTAAATAGAATAACAGAATGAGAAAATTGTCTATTTAATATGAAAAGATTGCAGTAAGCAACATCTTGTCTATCACATCTGCACAGAATGATTATAATGTACCAATATTGATTTAACAAACTTGATAATTTATAGTACATCTATCTACTAATCTAATAAAAAATTAATATTTTTAATTGGCAGAAGATAAGTGGACAAAATCTATATTAGTTGATATTGTTGTCAAGTAAAATTAATACCAGTTAATATTAGTTCCTCCTGCGTTGGTATTTCAGTGTTAATACTTTTTTTTGCCAGCAATTCTTTTTAGTATTACTGGCTATATTTTTATTATTGGTGTTAGCTATCTAAACTTTTGCTTTAAAAAACACCTATTATAATCCACCCAAGACCAGTTTTGTTTTGTATGCTAAAATTTGTTATGTATGTATTTCTTAAGTATTTTTAATAAGTTTAGCATTTTATTTTGTATGCAATAATTTCTGCACAATATGTCTATTAAGTATATCTAATGATAGAGTTAGCGTGAAAAGTTGCTGAAAGTGTGAAGAAAAAATGCGCGAAATTGAGATAAAAATTATAGAAAAAAAGACAAACAAAAATAAAAATGTATGAAAAAATCATATATATATATATATTTATTTACGTCAGATAAACGTTTATATTTAGTGCAATATTTGTGAACTCCGAACTATAACAGTTTTCGATAAACGACTCTGTCCCTAAAAAACGGACAATGAAAAAACAAAACTTTTCCTCGGAACGCTAAAGCTAATTATAAGTAATTATGTAGTTTGTATGTGGCCTCCTCACGTCTAACTATCTCATAGATATTTTAAATTTCTATGCGTTTAAAAAGCATTCAAAACTGCACACTTATGTAGAAGACTGTTTATGTGTGGGGTGTAACACAAAAAGATATGTTAACATTCAATGATACGACACACTGATATTTGAAACCACGTTGAAATTAGTCTTCCACAGTCTATAAGTACGAAGTTTGTTTAATTAAATAAATTATTTTGAAACATTACGAATAATTAACGAGTCTTCGATAACCGTCGTTCAACTTTCATTCACAATAAATAGAACGCAGAACGCGCGCGATATGCCCTTTTAATTGGAGGCATATTGAGATGCTATTTGATTTCTTCTCGATGCGAGACGGAATATTAAATAGTTATCATCAGAGACCGACTTTCGTCACACACTCACAGTATCTTTAGGATAAGAAAAAAAAAAAAACTCGAAGAAAATGTACATGGCGGACAAGTGTATATAAACAACAAGATATAATTACGACTGGATTCACGTCGAACGTGAGTCTTCTATATATAACGCAAATTGTTTGAATATCTTATAGTAGGAAACACAATGTATTTTATTATTTATGAATAATATTTTGTCGTATTACAAGATTCGGAAGATATTATATTGCTATTAAGAGATTCTGTATTAGTGTCTCTTATTGTTGTAAATGACTCAACAAAATGGAAAGAATTCGCGTGTGCGTGTTCTGTGTAAGATAAAAAAAAAAAAAAAAAAAAAAAAATGAAATTTATAGTTACTATGTAAATAAAAACATTTTTGTGAGAGCGGTAATATTCCATTTAATTAATATATAAATTTATTATTTAATTTAAAATCTTTTCTAATTTATGTGTGTATATACGCATATATATATATATATATATACACATACAGCAGGATTATAGTTATCATCAAGGTGATACGTATGAGGTTTTATATATATATAGATATATATATATATGCTTTATACTTCTCTTATTTACAAAGATGAATACGATAGTTTTGATGATGATTATTGAACAATGCTGTATTTTATAAGAGAACATATACACGACTCTCTTTCTCTACAGTGACTGACATAATTGTTCACATATTTCTACATATTAAGTCTGTCTATTATTTGATTTTTGTGTGTAAATATTAGTTGTAATAAAATATAAAAAAGATAGAGTAAATATTAATATGTAACATTTTTAAGGAGAGAAAAGAAGAAAGATAAAACAGTTTTAATATCTAGAATTGTGAAGAAATGTGTTTTGTCATTGTATATATTTGAAAAAGAGAACTACGTTATTTCGTGATGTAAAATTTTCCAGTGCTACAAAAAGCTTACACATGATTTGCAACTACATTAGTAAGAGAACTACATACCATTTTGTTTTATTTTATACAACTATGTTGTGCGCGCTGCATAAAAAAAAAAAAAAAAAAAATAAAAAAACTAAACTAGAGAGATAGATATTCAGTCCACAGACATTTAGATAGTATCATTTTTAATATATTAGATTAATGCGTTTATTTGTTAACATTTGTTAAAAGAAACCCGGTATATCTTATACTTTATCTCATTATCATTTGTACATAATAGAGAGTATAGAGTATAAGAAATATAAGACTAGATATTTCAAATAAATTCATGATACAATCAATAATAACTAGTTATCTATTAGATACATGTCCATCAAACTTCCATCATGTGTGCGTACGGATTTTGAGCAAAAGCTCCTTCCGCGCTTTTTGTTTATACTCTCAAGAATTTTATTCATTGAGCTCAATATGCTACAAATTGCATCAACTTTGCTCATTTATATTTCTTGTAATGACATACATTTCAAGTTAAAATTTATGCAATTCGTCTGTAATATTTTTTAGATATTCAAAATCGCGCTTTTATATGTGTATTTTTATAAAAAGAAACAATATTTATAACGGTTATTATAATTATTACAATTATTCAAATAATGCTTTGAATAAAAAACACTGTTGTCAAAGTTTTGTGTACCAAGAATATACGTATAAAAAATTGAACAACATTCACTGGTTTTGTATAGTAACCGAAAATACAATGAAAAATGACACTTTACTAGTACAAAAAAATTCTTTCAAAATACAATTAAATAAATTTTTTATTTAAAATATTAAATATTTGAAAATTATATAATTACTATAGGTATAATTTTATAAAAAAATTAAGTAATAAATATTGTGTAAAGAGAAATAAGTAAAAACTTTTTCTTTAAAAATGTTATTGCAGCCTCGAATACTTTTGCGCGGTTTTCTGGTTGCACGTTTAGTAAATTTGAATCTTTATAAATAAATTTTCTATAGCGTTTTTTTTTAAATTAAAATTTGTGACTCATCAATAAAAATTTAAATAATTTCATAATTTAAAACGAATTCAAGTCACGCGGTAGTAAAAAATTAAACAATAAAATAAATTTCAGAACCACCGTTTTAACTTCAACTTTTTAAATTACGGCAAATTTTGCATTGAAGTACGTTCGTATGTGTACATTGATGAGCATTGAATAGAAAAAAAGTTTCCCTTCTACTGTCGCTTTAATCGAGCGATGACCAACGGCCGAAAGAGAAGGGGAATAAGTAGAACTTTTTTCTCATCACGTCTCAATGGTGGTCGGTGTACTTGTGTTGTATACTTGCCGAACATTGTTCCGATACAAAGGACAACGCGTTTAGCATCAGCTGGCTTCTAGAGTCGCTGATCAAAAGTATGAGCACATCGCAACGAGGAACAAACCAATGAGAACAATATAAATTTCGTGTTTAACTTTACTGACTTTTCGGCCGCCCGTTGACCCGCAGCCTCAAAATATTTACGTCACACACGTATTGTATGACGTTTGACAAAACGGCAGAGGGGTGGCGCCACGACGACGAAGTGTAACGAGCTCGTACGAGACCGTCCGAAACATTCAGTCGGGGTCGCCATTTTGTCGGGTAGTCGTCGGGATTTGTTAAGATTGTCGTGTTTCTCACACTTCACGGTATCCTCGTTCGTGTTTTTGCACCTGGACCAAGTAAATCGCCCGCCGTAATAAAAGCACACGCGCGCTCGCTTGTCCGTTGCTCCGCAAATGGCCTGTCTGAACACTCTCAAGCAGGAAATCAAAACGCTCGAATCCGTCTTCCCCAAGAGCCATGAGAGGTTTCAGATAATGTCTGCGAGCGTGGACGAGCTCAGCTGTAGATTTGTCGGTAAAAATGGGAAGAAGTATGAAATACACGCCAATATCACAGTAAGTGTCAATTATCCACGTGTTTGCGAAACAGAATGACAATTTGTAGAATCGCCAGCTTTATACGCGCGTATGTGTATGGGTATGAGTGAGTTAGTATATACGTGTATGTATTCGTGTGACGGGTATGCATGTGTATGCATGGATGTGCATACATGTGTATATTCCTTCCATTCGTTCGTTCACTCGTTCCGGATCGACACTCTCCTGGGTGTCTGCACGTACAAACGGACATGGACAAAGAAACAATAACATTCTCAAATATTGTTTCGCGTCAAGAGAGCGCCGGCACCTTTATTACATGCACTTCGCTTTCTCGATCGTTTCGACGCGATCGATTTTTTTTTTCCCCCTTTAACATCGTGCCTTTCGCGGTGCGTGAGAACCGTTTGTAAATTAAACAGCGGGATATAAAGGATCGATGGTTTACCTGTAGAGAGAAATTTTTTTAGGATGTATCTAAAGCACAAGATATTTGTCGTTTCCTCGCGATTGTTGTTTTCGAAATCTTGCGAGAGTTTCAATTGCAAAAATGTCAAGACAAAGAAGAGAGAAACAAAGAGAAAGAAACGGACAAAGAGAAGTCGCTAAATCTTTAACCGGTGTTTCGCGCTCGCGGTCGTAATTCCACACGTGTTATTCAATCACAAATCGATCAAATCATTGGTTTGAATGTGAGATGAATTTTTTTACACTAGAACGTAAGTCAGAAGCAGTCGAGCGAATCGCGGATGTTGGCAGGAGGTTTCATACATTACAGATGTGTGCAAGTTTCTTAAGTTCAAATGTGCTGTGTGTGTTGTTTTGAATGAATACACATTATTTCGCTGTAAAAAGTTTAAATTGCTTATATTAGAATTTGAAATTATTTCTTTGCACCAATATTGCTGATGTTTCATGTAGGAAACTTATCCCTCAACACCACCAGTTTGGTTTGCTGAATCGGAAGAAACTAGTGTCACCAATGCTGTACAAATTTTAAGTAACACAACAGGCCGTGACAACCATGTAATCAACCAAGTTGGAATTCTGTTAAAAGAACTGTGCAGATTACATTCATTACCAGAACCGCCAGATGTTGAAAGACTCAGAACTGCTTTAGATCCTTTACGTTTAGGAGGATCAAATGAGGCGGTAGCGCAAAGAATGGACGCCGAGGATGTAGATGATATTGACGACGAAGACGAGAGTGAGACTGAAGAAGACCTTCATTTGGATATGGACGAAGGGGATGCAAATGCCAAGAGTAAGGTAAAGAAGAATGATCAGTTTGCTGTCATTTCTTTCTCTATCCTCTCTCTGTCTTGCTGGTGTTACAATTTTTAATCTTCAAATAAAATGTAGAGTGACGAAATGGATATGGAACATCTTGCAACTCTGGAAAGGTTGAGACAAAATCAGAGACAAGATTATTTGAAAGGATCTGTTTGTGGAAGCGTACAAGCCACCGATAGACTTATGAAAGAATTACGTGATATATACCGAAGTGACAGCTTTAAAAAAGGTACAATTTTTAGAGTTTCGAGTAATTTATAAAGATAGATAGCTATGATGACCTTGATATGTGTTGTAGAGGTGAGGGTGCTGATTAGGAACAAAATAATGGATATATAGGTAAGATTAAATATTTTAACACCTATGTAAGTATATATCTCGAAAAAAAAAACATGAGGTCAATTAAGATAAAGCGTATGTGTTAATCAGTATCCTCACTTCTGCAACATGTATCAAGGTCATGGTTATTAGGGTCATATTCATTTTTGGAAGCATTTACTGAGTTTCAAATAATCTTAGTTTAAACAGTAGATTTATAATGAGTATTGACACACAAATTATATATGCTTTATATATAATATTAATTCTTTTCAGGAATGTATAGCATAGAACTAGTAAATGACAGTTTGTATGAATGGAATATTAGATTGATGTGTGTCGATCCTGATTCACCACTTCATAGCGATCTCATTCTCCTGAAAGAAAAAGAGGGCAAAGACAGTATTCAGCTTAATATGATTTTTAAGGTACATTATATGATAAACTTTTATTTGTGATCGCAGCTTTAGCATCTCCGATTAACTTAATCGACCGATTGATTTAATTAAAGACGCTAGTTCTTAAGCTAGTTCTTAAAGCTATATGTATCTAGAGACGCGATAGTTTCTCGTCGCCAAGCACAAAAAAGTAACGCTAAGTGAGAGCCAATGCGACGTTACTCTACCACGACTTTTCACTTGTTATCTCGAGATTTTTTTCGCGAATTATTGACTTAAAAATATCTTGCGCGCGCGAAAATATATACTTGTGACTTTATAATTGCAGGAAACTTACCCATTTGAACCTCCGTTTGTAAGAGTTGTACATCCCATCATTTCTGGTGGATACGTCCTCGTGGGAGGCGCTATCTGCATGGAACTCCTCACAAAACAGGGATGGAGTTCGGCGTACACGGTAGAAGCTGTTATAATGCAGATTTCAGCTACATTAGTGAAGGGGAAAGCACGTATACAGTTTCAAGGATCAGGTGGCGCTGGCAAAGTATGTGGTGGACAAGGTCAATACAGTTTGGCACGTGCCCAACAATCATTCAAGTCTCTTGTACAAATACACGAAAAAAATGGTGAGCGTTTATTTGCTTTTACGTTACACTCGAATTTCCTTGTAACTCGTGTCATTGCTTTTTTTGTTTTGACGTTTTAACAGGTTGGTTCACACCGCCGAAGGAAGATGGCTAATAAACAGCGATGTCAAATATCGAAAAATATGACACGTGCTTACAGCTGAGACTTTAATTCGATGTGTGCCCAACAAATAATTATAATAATGATTTGATACACAAACACAACAGTAACTAGGTAACTTAAGATATTGAATTAATCTAATGTATTCTTTTGATGGCTAAAGAAGCTGCCGTATTCCTTGGTTTTATATTCATATATTTTCAGTCACATTTAGCATTTCGATCATCTGATCGCGAACTGTATTGGCAAATGTAAAGTATCTTTTCATCTAGAGGTAATTATATCTCACGAATACGAATTGTTAGTATATATTGTACTAATTTTAGTACTCTGTGAAAAGATACATATGTTGTACGTGCGAAACAGTATAAATATTCTTCAAGATGCGTTTGCGCAATTGTGCTTCCTGTCTTTCTAAAGGGAGGAGATTTATGCTTAGACGTTTAGAGTAACAGCGATGCTGAAGAGAATTTTAAGTGTTTCATTTTTATCATTTTATACGCTTTTCTTCTATGAAGCATATTGGGGTTATTCTCTGTGCAATTCAATAAAATGAAATTTCGTAGCTAATTTAAACAAATAAAAAAGTGACAGTAGTGAAGATGCATCTCTTTAAGAAAAAATGGAGATATCACTTTCGTTATTGAAATTCTTTGCTATAGATATCCTATATAAGTGATATCCCCCTCGCTCCCTCACTTCAAATTACACACGAGCGCACAACCAAAGCGTTTCTCAACAAGAACTATTTGGAAATAAAACGAATAAATAGGATATAAAAAAATGTAGCTGTGTATTATCTCGGAGGCTCTAGAGAGTACGAACACAAAAAAAAAAAAAAAGTCAAAAAAGTTTCTAGAAACTTTGTCGACTTGTATAATTAAATACTTTTCGTAAAACTAATTTTGTCTACATCAACGGTAATCATGTGTCGGGATCTCTGACGCAAGATACGATATTTTTTTACACATTCGGCAAAAATAGCATATTTCGTAGCATTAGTACATTAGATAATACGTAGAGCCTTATGCTTGTATCGTACGGAATGCAGTAATCAATACGAGTATTCATTCTTTCTATAGAGAGAGAAAGTAAGGATGAGGATAATAAATATTAATATGTAGGTGCTATGTACAAGAGCATGTACACATATTTTCTTCTTTAACCCTTTCTACTTCTGTAACAGTACAAATGATGACATGCCGTAACTTCGTTATTAAAGACTACGTTATACAGACTAATTAACGGTTTAGCGAGCAATCGTTTTTTATGAATTTATATTAATATCAAGACGAGATATTAATATACAACATTCGCTTGTTCCGTTTCACGTTCTGATTTAGTACAAACTAATTATTTAAATAGAAATAATTTCTAGTGTCTATAATCTGTGTCTTAAGATGTAACTTAAAACGCAAAAGAAAAAAAAAAGGAAAACAATAGGAGTTGCAAAGGGTTAAAGTAGTAAAAATTTATGTTTTATCTTGTGTGATATTATCGGTGTAATATCGGCTTATATAAACGTCCTGTAACGTATATCACACGTGTATCCTGTTGTGTAATATTCGATCGAGGAAAATAAGAGTTCTCGAGAATTGTATAGATGTACATAATGCTAAAGTACTCTTTAGAGTCTTTTTATCAGGGGACATGATAAATGCAATAGAAGCATTAAAGTTTAAAGTTTTGGTTGTGTGTTTTATCCAAACTTGTTGTAAAACTTTAAGTTTTTTCTTATTAAGAGATGCGCAGATTAAAAATATTAAACAGAATTTATATATTTATTATGTATATAAAACAAAATTTGGTTTTTTTTTGACGAATCGCCAGTTCCGCGCGCGAATGTTAGAATTTGACAGCCACTTAGTGGTGAAATTTTCCCGGACAAATTTTTATACACACGATAAAATAAATAATTGTCGTTTGTATAAGAAGCAAAATGGCCAAATGATATTGTGCATACGCTTCTGAAGCGAATTTGTCCATTAGAATTAAATAACGGGTATCGTAATATTTTTACTTTAACTTTAGTGAATCTAGTTTTTGCTCTCAATTATACACACGACGAATGTCCGAATGTATGTTTTCATAAAAATATACAAAACTATAGTTAAAATGTATTCCTTTTGTATTGCAAAAAAATGTTGAAGTTTAAATTATCGCAGTTGAGGGAATTATTTTTTATTAATAATGCTCTTCAAATGTGTATTGCATTTTTGAACATTTATGCAATTATGTTTCGTACATACATACATAAAAAGAAAAAAAAATGTCCTAATTCATATACACACATGCACGTACACGACACACATAGACATATACATTCTGTTCCTTCTTGTGCTTCATCTTCCTACGTCGAGAATTATGTAGTTCTGCGATATCATATCATATTCATATAATTATGAACAACAACGTTGTACTGTATTTTTTGTAAAAGCAAACAACAATTCAAGATTTGTCATATTATTAAGAACAAACAAGTATGAAGCAACAAATTAATACAATACAATTAATGATTAACGACCATTTTGTATTTCAACGAGTTTTATTTCAGATATATTTGTTACTTTGAAAGAAGAATATATATGTTAGAGTACGTGTCTGTGTAAGTACCGTGTCCGCCTCTTGATAAGAACGAATGAGTGTATTCTGAAACGCCTAAAGTAATCGTATGGAGATGGAGCAGTACATATGTTATTGGCAATAACGCATGTACAATGTATCAGTACACATGATTATTGGTATAATTGAATCGAGTAGCGTGGGTCACTAGTTTTTGTTCGTGGTACAGTTTAAAAACTCGTTTGTGAGCAAATGATATGAGCAGTATCGTCATATAAATAATAGATTCTTAAGTATAGGTATGCAATCATCGAGCTCGTTGTCAGTGGGTATCACGATTTGTACAGCCGCACCCGTATGACTCTGAGTACTGAGGTTGTTCGACGTCGTTAAACGTTATTTTCTTTGCCAAAACTTTCTTCGTGTCGTCTGTTAAGTTTTCTTTTTGTGTAATGTAATCGTGTACGATCGCGGGGAGCAATGACATGTATATTTTTGCTACAAATATCGTTAAGACTCTTCGTTTTCTCACAACATTCGACTCTCTTGTTGGTATTCGTGAGCTTTTCAGGAATTTCAGAGAATGTAAAAGTCGACATGTTGTCATTACTTCAAATTAATTGCACTTTCAAATTGGGGGCGAGTTTCACAATCTCCGATTGAGTCAGATTAATTGACCGATTAAGCGTCAATCGGTATGATCGACCAATTCGGCCAATCGACCAATACGATCGGTCAATTTTAACGGAATAATCGGCCGATTAAGTTAATCGGAGATTGTGGAACTGGACTCTTTTAGTGAATGAAATAGTATATGATTAACGAACGAGAGAGATTTGTAAAACAAAATGAGACGATAAAAGTTCGCGTAATTGGAATTTATTTCGCGGATGAATATCTCGACGAAAAAAAAAAACGTGCGCGCAAAAAAAAAAAGAGGAAAAAACTAAAAAATACAGGTTTGAATTAGTCGGATGTTATATAAATTGTGGAATCTCTAGATTGTATGCAGTAATCGAGTGTCATCAAAACGTTCGATTACATACATATACACACATGTACGTATATATATGTAATCGAAGAGAGTATAAATCTTTCTATTTAAAGACTGATAAAAGTAGAACACAAATGTTGTTTTCTTCCACATTACTCTTACGAAATATGCCTTTCACGCGAGACTTCGATTTACAGCATGAGAATAAAAAAAACTACTAGAGCAATTTATCCGCATTGAATGAGAGACTTTCTACACACTTGTGAATATAGAACATTACAATTATTAATTCGTAAACTTTTTGTATTGAAGGCATTAGAGTGCCAATTGGAAAGCTGGACACGTATATCACATATATTTATGTACATGTGTATATAAATATATACTTAAACAAAAAAAAAATATATATATATACCTAAATATAGATATACGTGGCCATCTTTCGTATATATATAATATATGTATATTTATATACATATATCTCTAATTCCAAAATGTATTTGTGGCAAAAATAATCGTCTAAAGTCTCTTCCAATTCATTTGTTCCACTTTTACCATCAATGTGGATATCCGTTCATTATGCATTAAGTGAATAACGAATGATTGATTGATGTAAATGACAAAATGTTTCTTTTTGTTTAAGGGGAGAGCACCCGGTTCACGCGGAACAATAAATAAATGACTGAAGGCTGATAAATAAAAGCATGATACAAGCACATATGGAAATTTCTAATATCCACGTGTACCTGGTTATACCTTATATATCCGTGTTGTGTAATCAAGATAGAACGAGAAGTGTAATCTTCGTTTCGCTTGAACCGTGGTATTGATCGTATCCATTTGATACTCGGGATATGACTTTGTGTATCGTGTTAAGTAATATGATATAACTTAACTCTCTCATATTATAACATTTTCTCTGACGAGGGTATGGACTTCCGGATCGAAGCAGCATGTGCACGTCGAGAGGAACTGCGATCAAGATTTTTTTTTCTTTTATATTTTCACACAGTTAGCGTGTCACACAAGTTTTTTCATATCTCGCCCGATTTCCTTTTTCTACGAAAACAAACCGTGTTCTTCTCGAATGCCGTTTACTTTCTCGACGTGAATGATGTTCCCTCTCCCCCGAGTCTAAACCCATAAATTAACTTATGTCTCTGTCTGCGTACCTATTGCGTATCAACTCGGTCAATCGAGAGATCGATTAATTTTTTGTTAATCGATCGGTCGTCTTTCTCTTTCTCTCTTTCTCTTTCTCTTTCTCTCTTTCTCTTTCTCTTTCTCTCTTTCTCTGTCATTGTCAATCTATAATCTTAGGATTATTCTCTGCGTATATCTTAAATCTGCTCCACACTTGTATCATCACCAATTTGAGTGAAAGTTTCCATAAGTCTAATATATCGGACATTTATAGTTTTCTCTCTTTTCTCTCTTTCTCTCACATCATAATTTCACGTTAAGTTACGTTAATTATTGTTTAGGAAAAACGCTACGAAAAACACAGAAAATAAAGATTTTAATAAAAACAAATGAATTTTTTGTACGCGCGCGCGCGCGCGCGTGTGTGTATGTATGTGTGTGTGTATATACATCCTTAGTGTATGATATTCAGCGTTTTGCTTAAGTACATTCCGCAATTAATAATAATACGAGACTCTAGCGTCGTGGCAACTACCGTGTTTCTTGATATTCATACAGTTATATGACAACAGACGACAGCTCTCACGGCCATAAATAATGTAATTAACAAGACGGAAGAAATTTTCTCTATCTACTTCCGCGCGCTCTGCAGCAGATGGCACATGCCACTTGGAATTAGTCACATGTACGAGGAGGCTGTCGTCTGCGTATATGCAACGACACAATCACTGCGTGAATCTGGATTCGAACGATCGGCTATTGTTTATCATTTTATACGCGCAACACGGTGAAGACCATCACTGTTATAGATAGACAAAAACGGTCACGTGTGAAAAAGAAGACTTCTTTTCTCCGATCTCGCGAATCGTTTGATCTCAAGTTTATAAAACTAAGTTTTATTATTCTGTGTAATGGTAAGTATAAAATTATTTATTATATTATAATTATTATAACTGGTCATTATACTGTTTTTATATACTGTGTGTATATATTTAAATTGAAATGGATATTTTATCGCGTATTTTATACTACGAAATGTGTGTGACTTATTATTTATATACAAAAACATAAATATGTACTCGTTACAAAATTATATGTTTATTTTATATGATTTATATCTTATGGTTATGTGATGCGGATTTATTCAGCCGGTATGTCCCGAGTCGAAATTTTGACTCTCTGATGAACCTCTCATTCTACTATATATAGGAGTTACGATAGTAAAGTAGGTTCAATTGCAAGGATAAAATTTGCTCCTACTTTCAACCTAAAAGTGTCACAAATTTCCATTTTCTCCAAGTTAGGTTTAAAGTAGGTT